GGCGTGAAAATGGAAGGAGGAAATGACGGAAGAAACCATATTTATTTTTGCCTCTCAGACTCCGTGAGTGCGGATTGGTTAATCATCCAAAAGTTAGACGCCACAATTTTTTATTTTTTTAACATATTACGATTATTTGCGAGTTAATTGATTGGGATAGAGGAAAGGTTTCCATAAGGTTCGAATATGTAACCTATCTACAGGGTTAAATGGCTTAACTAGACTTGGAAAAAATACACTCAATTCATCAACCCGATCTTAACTCGATTTAGTAAAAATGGATTAAAATCGACATATCTTAACTCGCAACCCGTAGATAATTCATATTATCAATTTGTATGGGTCACGAGTCGGGTTAGGATCAATCCGCGAGTTGACAAGTTGACCTATTTGTTTTATTTTTTATTATTTTTTAAAAATATTATACTTATTATTCTTAATTAATTTTCTTATTATTAACTCCTTCTATTCATTTATATTTCCTAATTTCTAGAGAAAGACGAAGAAATTATGATGAGTTTGATCTAATTATCCAAGTATTTTTTTTTTGACATTAACAATTACCTAAGTATCATGAATAAAATGATAATACAACTAAAAATATTAAAAGATGTGTTGTTAGGACATAAACATAATAACTTAGTAAAAGATATTCTTGAAAAAGCAATTTCATAATTAAAAAAATGGCTTAAACTACTTGATAATGTTTCAAGATAATTATAAAATTAAAACTTTATTTTTCAAAAAATTTAAATATTTTACGTTTAATATTGTTATTGTTAATCAACTTATTATTTATAACTTTATGATTTTTTCTTAATTTAATTGTTTGTGGTTAAGACTATAAAGTACTTAATTTTAATGAATCATAATACTTTAATTAGATTTAAATATATATAATTTTATTTGTATATAATAAAATTAATGAAAAATAATTATAAAAAATGAAAATAATATCAACCAGCGGGTTAATCCGTAATCTATTAGGGTCGGATTAGGGTTAAACTTTTCTAACTTGCAACCCGTTTATAACTCAATCTATATAATCCGTCACCCGAGTTAATCCAATCCGAACTCGACCCAATCTGTCCATTTGCCAGGTCTAGGCTTAACCCAAAATCCAATGTTATTAGGTCGTTCCACAAAATTTTTTTTCTTAGAGCATAAATTTTGAGAATGGGAAGGGTTTGGTAT